CAGTAATGCTGGTGGGCGGGCAGTCCTTCCGGACTATGCCGGAAGGTAGGGCGGAAGGCCCTCTTCAGCCTGCTTTCAGGAATCGTGGGAATGGGTGGGTGGTGGTTCGGGTGAGAAAATTGAGACGGACGAAATAAAGACAGAAGAGAATGAAAGATTATCTGTGGAATATTACTGCCTCAGCATTTGCCTAGGTGATCCAAGGAAACCACAGAAAAACTTGGACCATGGCAGACGGACCCGGAATCGAACCGGCGTCCTCCCGAATGCTAAGCAATGGTTCTAAACCTCTAGGCCATGCCGCTCGGTATAAATCTAGAACAACCCACATCCTTAACTATTTGCGAACATTAATCTAATCTAGGTCTACCTCAACCCCTCCTAACTTCCATTTCTAGCTCTAATATGTCTCTGACTAGACCTTCATGCCTGAGAAGGTGTCCTACCAACCTATCTCGCCTATTTTTTATTGACTTTCATAGAATGCTCTGTTCTCCTATTCTTTCTAATATCTCTTCATGTTTAACCTTTTCTGTCTACGGTATCCTCATTATTCGCCTGTAACACCACATTTCGAACGCTTCTAACCTTTTCTTTTCCGCCGTTTATGTTTCGCACCCGTGCTCCAAACATACACCTTTAACAACCTTATTCAAATTTCTAAATGACTTTTATTTATTTTCATACAGTACTGTTTCGTCAATACCGACAAATAAAAGAAAACGTTCATAGATTTTTCAGTAACAGTCTTAAACCAACAAGGATCGACAAATTTTAACGAAGACATTGTTAGAGATTACCTTAGATCACTAAGATCTAAAGTAGATTTTTTCTATTTATTTTAACACTTTCCGTCAAAAACAAAGAACAGTTTTCACGATTCGGAAAACCTCTTAGTCGTTGTAGTATGAATTGGAAAACAGAACGATTGGATAGTGCAGAACCTTCAATAAAATATTAATATTCTTTTGTTGTTTCCTAGTACGACAGTTCTATAATCACGATCTGTTTAAGCAAATTTGAAAAGAAAATGACGGTCTAAATAATAGGTAACCACGTTTAAGCACAAGACAGTAGATGTCTCTTGCTTGACGTATTGTAGATAAGTGAGCTTTTTGTCCCTTTTACAAATTACACATCAGGCATATACAATAGGCTAGTCGTTCACAATGATGTAGCAACAATAATGTTACACACCCACCGTAGGACACAAATTGATATTTTCAAAACAGTGAAAAACATTTATTACATACCGTATACAAATTGTTTCTTTTGAGACGGGGAAAATCTAATTCGTACTTTCATTAACTGAAAACTAAAGGTAGTTATTAAAATACTAGATAATTACTATTTTATTTTTCAACAAATGAGTAGATATCCGATGAAGTAAAATCTTTATCACAGTTCTGGTGATGGTTTGGGCATTTTTGGCGTAATCTTTAGTACATTTACTTAGTATTGGTCTTGTTTTTGTTTAGATACTTTTTGTTTTACGATTACTCTTGTTTAGATGAGCCTTAGTCAGAGATTTTACTTTACATAAGTATATTTCAGACCTGCGGTCAGAATCCTCACAAACTAGAACCCCCTTAAAAGTAAGTTTGAACTTTTTTTATTGCAGCAAACGCCTACTGTAGCCCAATATTCATGGAAAACTCACATCACTTTCTCCTATCACCTGATTTCTCCTTATTGTATCCTTTTACACTCTTATTTCAATTTCTCCTTCATCCCCATAATATTATCCTTAATTATTTTAATCTATCTCAATAATCAGCTGTTTTCATCTACGTTAAAAAAAAGATGCGATAAAACACATCGGAAAAATCTCGGAAAAACTACTTCCGAAAAGCTAAGGATCCAAATAGAGTATTTTGTATCAATTTTCTAAATAACATTTGCCCACTTTACCAGAGGAGTTCCGGACCTGATTGTTATTCATGGGTCCTTGATGAAAGCCTCACATTATGTTGTGATTCTTGCCATTCATTAGCCATAATTGGAAAACTACAATCGGATCTCATTGACGAATAACGGGTAAACGATTGACCTTAAACTAGGTACCAACAAGAGTACTTTAAGGATTAATCCCGGCTTGCTCAAAGAATTGTTAAAAAAGATTTTGGTTTAGCTTGTATGGCGTGGTTAATGAATAAAACATCCTGCAGGACCTAACCACACGATCGGATGATCGGCAGATACCTGCCTGCCTATCAAATTTTGTTGTTTTGGAAAGAAACGAAACGTTTCATACCTCGGAGCATTATCGGCAAGGATCAGCGAATTTGTTACGGCACAGGGATGTATTGCAAAGAGAGGGCCACGCTAAACCGTCACTGCTGTCAATTTAATATATGCAAGGCCCGCTAGAATATTAAAATTCGAAGCGGGTAGGCCGTACTGCAGAGTCCGGCGCATATCTTTCTACAGTAGCGTGTATAATACGAGAAACGTCGCAGACGTGTAATTATATATTTAAAATAACAATGATTAAAAGACGGTCTACCAAGTAAACGTTCGATATAATTCATGAATGCAGAGAGACAGATGAATTATTAAGCAGCAACAGCTCCACCTTTGATCGCATCGCGCTCTAGAGAGTTGAGCTGTCCCAAGTTAAAGCCGGCATGTATATATTTGCAACAAAGGACAGACAGACCGAACCGTGCGATCGAATGCAATGCTGCACGACAACCCCACAACCACGCCCAGTGTTGCCAGATGGAAATCTCGAAATTAACATAAGGTGGAATTTTAAGTACCTACCTCGCCGGTTTTTTTAAAATACGCACGGCATCAGCCTGCAACTTCGTCTTGTATGTTGATTTCAAGCAACTGAAACAACACATACTAAATATCTCTTATACCCAACCCAACCCGACCCGACCCAACCTTACGATATGCAGGTTTTAAAAGGACCGAACGTTTTCCGATATTTTTAGGTTTTCTGTGAAAATTGCGAATGAAATCGAAATTAAATAATACACAATTCAATACCGATACTATGCTTAAGGCTGTCATGGTCACTGGAGCCGAAACCGTCACTAATACGAATCGAAACCTTGAATAACAATCTTATATGAGAAAGCCTTAAAATTCTATAAGTAAAAGATTCAACACTGTTCCTTAACAACTATCAAAAGTAACAAACACTTGGGGTGATTTTTAACAGTACCAGAAAATTTTGTTTAGTTCACATGCTAAAAGCTGTGACCAAACCACTAGACCGCCCCACCCGGTACGGATTTCCCAGTTTTCTAATACTTTTTATAGTACTGATTACCACAGCTGTTCTAAGGAATTTAGTACTTGTGGACTAGTAGCAATAACGCATAGTCCTTCATAAGAAAATATTACGGAATGAGAAGTAAGAGCTTTCGAGGTCACTGGAAATAAATGTGCCACCAATACGTAACGAAACCTTGAAGGATAATACGCTAATACTAAATATGGAACACTTAAAAGTCTAAAAAGAAAGGTCTCAGCAGTAGTCCTTAATAACTATCAAATGTAAGAATCACTTGAGCTGCTTTCTAACACTTTCCCAATATTTATTTAGTTCAGATGCTAAAAGCTGTGATCAAACAACTAGACCGCCCCACCCGGTACGGATTTCCCAGTTTTCTAATACTTTTTATAGTACTGATTACCACAGCTGTTCTAAGGAATTTAGTACTTGTGGACTAGTAGCAATAACGCATAGTCCTTCATAAGAAAATACTACGGGATGAGAAGTAAGAGCTTTCGAGGTCACTGGAAATAAAAGTGCCACCAATACGTAACGAAACCTTGAAGGATAATACGCTAATACTAAATATGGAACACTTAAAAGTCTAAAAAGAAAGGTCTCAGCAGTAGTCCTTAATAATTATCAAATGTAACAAGCACTTGAGCTGCTTTCCAACACATTCCAAATATATATTCTAAAAGTAAAGGGTTCAATACTGTTCCTTAACAACTATGAAAAGTAACAAACACTTGGGGTGCTTTTTAACAGTACCACAAAAATTTATTTAGTTCGCATGCTAAAAGCTGTGATCAAATCACTAGACCGTTCCGCCTGGTACAGACTTATTCGTTTCCTAAACTTTTTATAGCACTAATGACTAAGAGATTTGGCGCTTGTAAACTAGTAACAATAACGCATGGTTCTTCGTTAGAAAATATACAGAATGAGAAATGTGAGCTTTCATCAGTTCTGGATCTAAAGGCGTCATTAATACACAACGAAACCATGAGGAATATTGCGCTAATCTTGTATGAGAACGCTTCACAATCTAAGAAGAAACAAGAAACTAATACTTGATGTGCTTTTTAACAGTCTCAGAAAATTGTACTTAGTCTAATTGCTAAAAGCTGTGATAAACCACTAGACCGCCCCGCTCGTTACAGATTTATTTGTTTTCTAAAAACTTTTGTAATACTGATTATCATAGCTGTTCTAAGAAATTTGACGATTGTGGACTAATTACAATCTAGCTCATCATAAGAAAATATACGGGGTAAGAAACAGGGAGCTTTTGTGGTCACTAGAACTAAAAGCGCTACCACTTCGAAACGAAACCTTGAAGGATAATATCCTTCTCTTGTATATAAAACGTCTTTAAAGTTGAAAAAGGAATGTTTCAGCATTTTTGCTTAACGACTATGAAAAGTAACAAACACTTGATGTGATTTTCAGCACTTTCTGAAAATTTGATTCAGTTCGAATGCTAAAAGCTGTAAAAAAAAACTAGATCGCCCTGCTCGTTACAGATTTATTTGTTTTCTAAAAACTTTTGTAATACTGATTATCATAGCTGTTCTAAGAAATTTGACGATTGTGGACTAATTACAATAACCCCTAGCTTATCATAAGAAAATATACGGGGTTAGAAACAGGGAGCTTTCGTGGTCACTAGAACTAAAAGCGCTACCAATTCGAAACGAAACCTTGAAGGATGCTATATCCTTCTCCTGTATATAGAACGCCTTTAAAGTTCAAAGGTTTCAACATTTTCTCCGAAAGACCATGAAATTTTCGGCAGTTTCTGAAAATTTGATTCAGTTCAAATGCTAAAAGCTGTGACAAATCACCTAGACCGCTCCTCCAGGTACAGATTTATTTGTTTTCTAAAACTTTTTGTACAACTAATTGATTTGGTGCTTGTGGACTAGTAACAATAAGAAAATACACAGGATATGAAGTGGGAGAGGGATGTGAACATCAGTGAAGTATTGCAGTAGCTTTAGAATTTAAAAAAGTCAATGTATTATTACCAATGAGCAAATAAAGACATAAAGGTCATACGAAATCGAAACGAAGTTGCCGTAGGAAAAGATTAACCCCGTAGTTAGTGTGGTCCCAATGGAGATTACTTATGTTTAACGTAAGTGAAAATACTGTGGTAAATGATTCATTAAGTCAAACAGGTAATAGATATTCTTGCAGATTACATGACTTATTGTCTTGAAAATCAAGTTTTTCAATGATCGAGTTGGCTTTCCATCGCTACTACTCGACCTGGCGTCAAGCATTTTCAAGCTACATGACTTTACTTGATACACATATCGGACCGAATCGAATTATTTATTTATACAATTATGAAATCTTATTAAGAAAATGAAAATATTCAAGGCGGTACAGATTACTCTTAGACATTTCTTAAAGTAAGTAGATTCAACACTCTCTTTTACCATAGATAGTTTGTCCACTTTTAGTGGTATTTTCGCCCATTTCATTGATAATAATTGAAAATTTATTTAGTTCTTTTAGATGTCGCTCCGACGCATGACAGTTCAATTAATAGCAAAACTATTTTTCAATTAACTTACTGCAATTCTACGAGTTAATAATTTCTTTGCAACTACAACACAAACAGTGTTTTGTCTTTATTAGCGAAAACTACAAAGTTTTATTCCTAATATTGATCCCAAAAATAGAATTGAATGAAAAACTTTGGTTATTTACCTAAGGGTCCTCAAAACATTTGTAAAACCATGAACTTGCATCATTCTAAAGTGCAAGGCTATTAAACATTCAAACCCTTTAAAAACCTCATGTGAGTGCAACCTAACTTGGAAACTTTTCTAAAACTACATCAGACACTCTAAAAAGTCGCTTAAAATGACTAGACTAGAAAAACAAGTAAATATTGTTATCTATCTAATCCATTTCTTTTAAAGAATGTAATGTAGATTAATGTACAGTTTATACTACTACTAACATATGCATCTATCTATCCTGGTCGCATTAAGGAAACCCCAAAAAAATACATTATTAAAGAACCTTATTCCCTGGTAAACAAATAAACCGTCTTAATGGAAGCGCTGTGGGGTTTGTGTTGAAGTAATAAATTTCGTATAAAGTTTCACTTACATGCAGATATACTTTGCATGACGGATTGATTTGTATTTTGGGAATTAATGATGATAATGCATGAAACACGGTCATGTCTTTTAGTTATGTGCCTATAAATGGATTCTAAACCATTCTACTGATTACTTTATTTTTGTTGTGTACTTACTTTGTACAAATATCTAATACATATAGTGAAAATTGAGCATTATCTTATTTATTTACCATTTAATGTACCCACCAAATTGTTCACCAAAGAGAGCATATTTTTTCATTTTTTTTTACGTTAACATACGTATTCTTCAATTTATTTTAATATAGCAGAATTAATCCATTACTTACCTATACCAGTTTCCAAACTATATCGTCAATTTTTAAGCTTTTTTTAGAATTCAAGTAATAAAACTATAAAAATGAATAGAACTAAATTGAAACCTTACCTTTTGTCAGTACATCCAAAAGGATTTTGGGCAAAACTTTGTCCCTGTGACACGATAACATTTGACTGCATAACTATCTTTTGGCAAACACCACGAAAATATATAAAACTTTAACTGACTTTAAATTTAAAATACGTTTCGAAACCCACGGAAATTTATATTACGCGAAATGAATCTATACACAAACTTTAAAAAGTTTTAAAACCGTATCACTTTGGTGAGCATGTGGATCAAATCAATTAGATCATACTTTAATTACTACTTACACCGCACTTAACTTTATCACTTATTGTCAAAAATTTGCTGTTTTTCTAATGACTAGATAATAATCATAATAGAATAATATTACTTTACTCTCAAATTTTAAATGTTATGGGCAATATGATTTAAGCAAATGTAGCGCCTGGTGATTATCTATGATAAGGGGGTTAATTAACGTTAATTACGTGAGTTTTTTTTTTTCAATTTACACCCCTTTGACTTTTTTGAAGGTGAGATTTACCCGAGGAAAAAAAATAAATATAAAAAATAGTGATTTCTTTTGTTTAGTAAGATTTTCAATGATCCCCATTTTCCTTTAATGATGAGACATTGCCAGACTCCTCCACCCTCCCAAATTGGGCTCAAGTAATTAATAGTTACCCCCCAACATAATAATAATGAAGCGCTATACGTAAAGAATTCCTATAATTATTAATTTTCGCAAGTAAATGTTTACAACTAAAATTAAAAACCGATCTTCATTTATACAAAAGACAGGGTTAGCTTAGGCTTGCTTTAATACTAGGATTTATAGTTCTTGTTATAAATCCCATTATTAATACAAACTTAACCCAACCCTGTCTGTTGTGTTCAAGAAAGTTAGAGTTTAATCTTCTTATTTGTATTTTAGTTGGAAACAAGGGCTCGAATACACTTGGAAAATCGTAAATTGAATGTAATAATTTACATTTTAGGGACCTAAAGCTTCTTTGAATTATTTATGAAAATTTACAGGAGCTTTTTCGAAAGAGCGTCAAAAATTCATTAGAATCATATTAACATAAAGTCATTATTAACTGTACAAAAAACAGAGGAATTAATTAACATTACAGCAAAATAAGACAATAAGTATCTAAAGCACATTTCAAAGTTCTAATTTTCAATTAGAGGTGAAAAGAAAAAATTAGTATGTGATTACATAACTTACAAACATGTGTGATAATTGCGCTAAGAAACTAATAATTTAAAGAAAATATTAAAAATGATGATTACTATAAGTACGATGTAAGATAATAAGTACAAATACATCTTAATCCTTAATTTCCTCACCGCTCAGGGAAATTATAAAGGATAATTTATAAAATAAATGATACTTCTGGCGACATCTGCAGCTAAATAGCTTAGCTTATCTTTCATAGTTATTTGTGTTTGCTGCCATAACATTCTAGCTCTCTGGAACTGGTAAAGTATTGTACTTAACCTCAATTTGTTGACTGTCAAACAAATAAAATTAACGCATAAAAGAAATTAAATTTCGTTAGGAAAGTGGTAATTAATAAGTTAATGTGATTAAGGAAAGATTAGACAGTATTTCAACATGTTTCCAACAAGTACACAGTGTAAACATTGGATATTCATAAGCGAAGATGAATTAAATAAACTGCGTGAAAATGCCAACAGTAAACACATTCAGATTTATGGAGGAAATATTAACGTACGTAACTGAAAATTTAACCACCTAATTGTTTATTTCAAGTAAATTAAATATTCTAATGTATCTCTTATGCAAAGCCGTAGTAGTTAAAATTAATGAATTTCTCTTTGTATTGTTTTCTCCTTGCACCGTTTATTTATTTACCTATGTTGCTATACTTTAACATTATTTTAAAATGTATGTAAATAATTATTTAAGTGTTGTAAAGTCAGTTAATATTGATTTTATATTTTAAAATTTCAAATCGACTTGTTTATAGTCTTGAGTTCGTGTCGCTAGATGGCAACTTAAGCCAATGGTATATACAGGGTGATTGTTTTAAAAGTCCAGTAGACAATTTAAAAATAAATAAAAATATGAAAATTGCAGGCAAACCTTATGTAATTAATAGTCCCATAATATTAGTAGTATGATATGATAAATTTGAATAAATTTTCTGCATAAAAAAAAGTTTCTTTTACCTTATTATATTTTTTTCCAATTTTTTAAACAGTATAAACCTTTTATTCACGCAATAATAAGTAAGGGTGTATCTGCTTTCAGGAGTCTCACAGATCAGAAATATTTTTAACCCCAGAAGAAGAAAAAACGATGGTTCGCCGATACGAGTTGCATTTACGTGATTTCTGTAAAAGATTCCAACCCCCTATGCCTCGCTGTGTTGTTGGAACTGCATTTCACTATTTTAAACGGTTCTACATCCACAATTCCGTTATGAATTACCACCCCAAAGAAATAATGTATTTAGTACATAATGAATACAACTTTTATACTAATGAATATCTTATTAAAAATAATTCCAGGGTTACGTGCGTGTATTTGGCGTGTAAGGTGGAAGAGTTCAATGTATCCATGCCTCAGTTTTTAGCTAATATAAAGGGAGATCGGGAGAAAGCTTCTGATATTATTTTAAATAATGAGCTTTTGCTTATGGAACAGCTTAATTTTCATCTAGCTATTCATAATCCCTTTAGACCTATTGAAGGTCTTTTAATAGACATTAAGGTATAAATAGCAATCATCATCATAGGCACCTGTAATTCTTACTATCCTATCCTGAGTCAATCTTCCCATTTTTTACCATTTGTTAGCAGCATTCAAATCTAAGACATTTCTCTGCCCCTTTTTACTCCTGTTTACGCATCTAATATGTCTACACCTATCCCATCATGTTTCCAAAGGTGTCCTACCTTCCTCTTTCTCTACTCTTATGTGTTTAGATTTATCAGTAATTAAAGTTCATGCAATAATTTCATTATTTATTGGTTTTAATCAGGTCGATTTTTTAGACTCGTTGTTCTTTGAATGATCCGGAAAGATTGAGGCCTGGTACCGAGCAATTTTTAGAAAAAGTTCTTTTAACAGATGCAGTTCTTTTGTATGCACCAAGTCAAGTAGCTCTTGCAGCAGTTCTTCATGCTGCTTCTAAAATGCAGGAAAATCTTGATTCCTACGTGACCGATACTTTATTCGGGGTTGAAGGCAGGGGTAAATTGGAAGAGCTTATAGAAGCAGTGAGAAGTATTTGATTTGTCGTTAAGGGAGCTGCGGGGATATTTTTTTTATAGGATGTTATTTTTTTTAGGTATAAGGTCCATGGTAAAGATGGCAGATATTTTGCCAGATAAGAATCAGCAGAAGATTTTAGAAAAGAAATTAGAAAAGTGCAGAAATCCTGAAAACAATCCTGACAGTGAAATGTGAGTAGGAGGGGAAAGGGATCTTTTATGATTTATTTTAGGAATAGGAATGAACAATTTCTGTTTTTGAAACTTTTTTTAGCTACAAGAAGAGAATGCAAGCACTACTGGACGAAGAAGATGAACTTACAAGTCAGATGAGTTCTAACAGTGCTTTAGAAAATTCAGCCCTAAATTCGATTCCACTTCTATCCCCCAGTGGCGCCTAATTAATCAATTTTTAAAAGTTTACTATCATTTATGTTAATTATGAAATGTATAATATAGTAGATTTCGATAAAAGTTTCTGGAATTAAAAATAGTTTGTCGTTTTATTTCAAGTCCCTTAAAGATGTTTCGTTCATTCTGTTTGATTAAAATTAGCAATGCATTAACAGTTCACGTTACCAATTTGTTCACGTTAACGAATGTTATATTTAATAATTCGTAATAAACACTATAATTAATAAGGGCACTTATTTATTCATTAAAAGACAACAGTAAAGGCATACGTTTGCTGCAACGACGAAATATCGACTTTTAAGGCTATTGGACATTCGTTTCTATAAGCGAAGGTTTAGTTTGTTCACGATATACAGTACTCCTATCTCATAGTATTTATATTTAAAGTTGTTATGAAGATGACCAGCAGCTATGGTCTTTATATGATGGTCGCAATAAACTATGCGAGCACGAAAGAGGAAAATTCTTATCATACCTGTATATATTTACGTTATTTAAATGTATTATTGCAAATCAGAGGTAGTGGTGGTAGGTACGTGTACCATACATGCATACGTTTGCTGTAATGGCGAAATATCGATCTTTAAGGCCAATGGACGTTCGTTTCTATAAGCGAAGGTTTAGTTTGTTCACGGTATACAGTGCTTCAATCTCACAGTATTTATATTTAGTTGTTACAAATATTGCCAGCACCTATGGTATTTATTATAATAGTCGCAATAAACTATTGCGAACGGGAAAGGGTGAAATTCTTATCATACCTGTATGTATTTACATTATTTAAATGTATAATTGCAAAGTGAAGCTAGTGGTCGTAGGTAGGTATACCATACATGCATACGTTTGCTGTAATGACGAAATATCGATCTTTAAGGCCAATGGATATTCGTTTCTATAAGCGAACGTTTAGTTTGTTTCCGGTATACGGCATTCCTATCGCATAATATTTATATTTAAAGTTGTTATAAAGATTACCAGCACTTATGGTCTTTATATAATGGTCGCAATAAACTACAATGGCGAACGGGAAAGGGAAAATTCATGTCATAGTTGTAAGATTGCAATTCGTTGGTAGTGATCGCAAATACGTGTACCATATATTAAATTAAAGGTCTTGGAATTCTACGTTCTTTAAAAAAGAGTGCGGAGCGACTGGAAACAGGGCTCAGGAAGGACTTCAGTGCAACATCGGGTCAAGCACCAGAGACCTTTCATTTTTGTTCGTTTATTAGAAACAAAATAAGACCTTATCACATAGAATTCGTAATTTCTTAAGTATTTTTGCCGTTAATCGATGAAATATTTTTTTTTACGAAGAATAATACGTACTTACATTTACACAGTATCGATACAATAAATCGAGAGTCTTTTTCTTCGAGATCATGTTGTTTCAAATTGCCTTCCGAAGTTCTGAAGCTGAAGAATGGGCGGCATTTCCTGAAACGACGTGTCCTGGTAATTTAAATATCCCTGCTGATTGTGAGAGCTCGTTGACGTTGTGGGGGGCACTTGGGAGATCATTTGTGTTGTCGGGGGTGCCGGTAAGGGCACAATATTTGGCATTAAAGGGTGAACACTAGGAACAGCTGGTTGTCCACGATTATTGAAGAACCTAATTGCGAATAAAAATTTATAACTTCCAAATGTCTGGAAAATCTCAAAACATAGATTAAGAAAATTATTTCGAGAGAATACAGCCCACATAAGGATGAGTCAACAACCCAAAATGATGGTTTATTTTTTAAATGTTGAATTCGATTAAAAGCTACAAAAGGTTATTGCAATATTTTTCAGAATATCTTTAAAAAATATGTATCGATTCCTTTTCAAATCTTCACCAAAGATTTTTCGCTTATTTAGAAGTAAATAAATGAAAGGGATTTGACAAATTGGTAAAGGTTTTCGCGGCCAGTTGGTAAACTACAGGCCGTCGTCCATTGGAGTTGCTTCCTAACGTTTCGCTAACATGAGTGACGATCTTCTTAAGAGATCCTTGGAGTAATCGATGATGAAGAGCTTCTGGTCTTGTCTGCCTCTGTCGAATTCTGATTGCAGACGTTTCGCCATGATTAATAGATGGCATCTTCAGTGCTTCACGATGTATGATCGGCTGCTGAATAATCATGAAGCACTGAAGATACCATCTATTAAGCATGGCGAAACGTTTGCAATCAAAATTCGACCACAGCAGAAAAGCCCAGAAGCTCTTCATCGTCGACTGGACACCGGTCTTGAAAGCATATGATCTTTGGACTGTTCACATCTAGCATTAGACGAGAAAGGACCTCTAAAGAAGCTCACCACTTTTGCTAGCGAAACGTTAGAATGGACATAAACGGGATTTATTAGTTCACATTTTAATCACTAAAAAATTGATGTACAAGGTTTGTTCAAAAAGAATCGCTAATCTTGAATTTCCACAGGTTATGCATTTTGGATTTTCCATTTTTTTAGGACGTTATTTTGGTACTCATGTCTCTCACTTATAAAGACAAGTTCGGCCATGTTTTGTGGACGAACAAAAATTTGCTTTTGCACCATGATAATGCCCATGCTTACACATCGTTGCTTGTGCGCGAATAATGCCGGAGCCACCGTATTCCCTAGATCTAACCCCTTGTGACTTTTTCTTGTTCCCTAAACTGAAGAGGACTATGAAAGGACGAGGCTACACTACAATTGAGGATATAAAGACGGCATCGAAGGAGAAGTTGAATAAGATTACAAAAAATGATTTTTTGAAGTGCTTCGAGGATTGAAAAAAACGTTGGCACAAGTGTATAATATCTAATGGGGATTACTTTGAAGAGTACAAAATAGATATTCAAGAATAAATAAATAATTTCTGATAAAACACAAAATGCGCGATACTTTTTGAACAGACCGTGTATATATTATTTATCACACGTACCATAATCTATCTCCAATGAAAATTGGCCGTGGAACCAAGATCCCCATTGAACTATAGTATTGCTGAGCTAAGAGTTCTACATCGTTTGTATACTTCCTCTTCCATTTAGTTCTTCGATTTTGAAACCATATTTTTATCTACATATACAAAGAAGACTTTCTTTAAGTTATAGAGTAAGCCAAAAAGGGTAGTTTTACGATTTTTTATTATTTGCAAATTTCCCATACGGTATATGTGTGAATTACCTGAGTTTCAGTAAGTTTAAGTGTCTTAGATAACTGGCTTCTTTTGGCAACGGACAGGTATTTATTTTTCTCAAACTCTGCTTCTAATGATTTAATTTGAGCTGCTGTGAACGCAGTTCTGGGCCTTTTCTTTCTTTCATCGTCTGTCTTGAAATCCGAAGATATATCTGTAAAAAAGGTACACGTTATTAGTATTGAAGTCTGATTGAAATTACACAAGAAATTTTCTTTGTTGTTTTCACTAGTGAATTATTTGCTAAAACATCCACAACAATGAATATCACAAGGTCTAGATATGGCGTTATAGGGGGATGATGATAGTTAGGATGGAAAACCACCTTCTAAGTCATCAATGTTAATTAGAACCACAATAGAAGCTAAAACAGGAGTAAAGAGAGAAATCGTACTATTAATATGGAATTTTCAGCCCTAAACACCTCAACTCCGAATTGTCTACGTCAAAATATAAAAATTCTCGGCCCCTTAAAGTTCATTTGTTTTATTCGACTTTTTAATTACATGTAATTTATTGTAAGTTTTATATTTGGGTAGACGCGAATGAACTCATTTCTGGTAAACTGCAGGCCGTCGTCGATTGGAGTTTCTTCCTAACATTTCGCTAACATGAGTGATGATCTTCTTAAGAGATCCTTAGAGTAATCGATGATGAGGAGCTTCTGGGCTTTCCTGCCGTGATCGAATTTTGGTTGCAGACGTTTCACCATTTTCAGTGCTTCATGATGTATGATCGGTTGCTGAATAATCGTGAGGCACTGAAGGTACCATCTATTAAGCATGGCGAAACGTCTGCAGTCAACATTCGACCACAGCAGAAAAGCCCAGAAGCTCTTCATTATCGATTAGACACCGGCCGTGAAAGTCTATGATCCTTGGACTGCCCACATCCAGCATTGGACGAGGAAGGACCAGTAAAGAAGCTACCACTCCTGCTAGCGAAACGTTAGAATGCAACTTCAACCGATGGCGCCCTCTAGACCCGAATCAGGACATAAACGGGATTTATTAATTACTTATTCACATTTTCCTCACTAAAACCCCTACAACAATGAATATCACAGGTTCTAGATATGGTGTTATAGGGGGATGATGAGAGTTAAGATGGAAGACCGCCTTCTTAGTCATCAATTTTAATTAGAACCACAGTAGAAGCTGAAATAGGAGTAAAGAGAGAAATCGTACTATTAATATGGAATTTTCAGCCCTAAACACCTCAACTCAAATGCTCGGCCCCTTGAAGTTCATTTGTTTTATTCGACTTTTTAATTAGGTACCTGTAATTTATTGTAAATTTTATATTTGGGTAGACGCGAACGAACCCATTTTTCTCTTCCCGCAGGTTATCGCAATAAAAAAGCAACATTCGACGGCCAGTTGATCAGAGGACCTGTCAAAAGTGTCAACGACAAAATCATATCCTAATTACGAGCGCATCGCGAGCTGCGCTACTTTTTTTTTCCTCCAATATTATCATTGGATCGCGTGTTCCGCCGAAACGAAAATATCTGGTTAGTCTTCGTAATTTACAACTAAAACATTCTTAAACGTCGTTTATAACCGGAGTTACTGTCTCCTAATTGCATCGCACGATTTTGATCCTTAAGACAGTGGCGCGATAGGGACACCGCGAGGTTAACTAACTAATATATCGCGAGTCGTTTTTTCGACTCATTTTTCAACGGGCGCAAGCAACGCTGTGTGCTTGTCTCCTCTGTGTGTAGTTGAAGATCGTTAGCCGTTTAAAATCTAATTCTGTCTCGGCGCAAATTAGCGTCTTCCTAACGTGTCCACACTTCCCACCAGCTACTCGGGACATAAATTTCGACACGGCAAATTAAAAACAACTGTGTCCCGTAGGAAACTTAACCGGCTCATATACTCGGTCACCGTTTAAATTGGATAAAGGTGTCGACGATCTACCCCATTACACATGACAGGATAATAATAATCCACGCGATATTATGGATTTGGATATGTATATTATATGATTTGATCTCAGTACATATTATAGTACGACAAATAATATATATCTACTTATTTAACAAAACATGCTTTTTCTAAAAATCATCATCACCTCCTAGGAGATCAGAAAACTTTGGTGATGTTCTAGAAGAGCACTCCTAATAGCTCAACCACCAATGCGCCTAAAACACGACACTAATCGCGCCAAGTATCTTTGGGTAACAAGGGTACCTTCTTTTAGGATTTAAGAAGAGAACTTGAACACCTGAATAAGCGAACTTCAGTCTCTGAAGAAAGTAAACTTGTTACCAAAAAGTATTTCGAATGCTTAGTGTCGTGTTTTGGGCACATTGAAAAGTTCCTTAAGAGTCAGAAACTAAGACTAGAAAAGTCCCTAAAAAAGAGAACTTTTGTCCATGAATAATGTACCCTTGTTACCAAAAAGTATTTTGAACGCTTGGTGTCGTGTTTTCGGCAAATTGAAAGGTCCTTTAAAAGACAGTAACTAATACTTAAGAAGAGTCCCTAAAAAGAGAACTTGTGTTCCTGAATAATGTAGCCTTGTTACCAAAAAGTGTTTCGAATGCTTAAATTCGTCTTTCGCCGAAAATGGAAGCATTTTTCATTGGCAAAAGAATACTACCCGGCGCCTCCGCCAAAATATTTTAAACATTGAATTTTTTATTTCATTATTTATTTTCAGTTTCTCAAGTGTATGAAACAAACAAAAGTTTCTAATTTTAATTTTTTTCAAAAAACCGATACAGTAGATCTAAGCAAGGGGAATAGGTACTTTTTAGAGGAAGGACGATACTAACAGATATCGGAAAGAACAATCATGAAAGTAATAAAGAAATTACGTGAAATCAAGATCGTTATAGTTTGGGAGAAGAAAACAGAAAAGATTTAGAAGAATAAAAAAGAAATACTCTATGTGTTCAAAAACAATTGGAGAACAATGGCGATCCTTGAAAAAAGGACAAACACAAAATCAAGAATTCTGAGATTGTCATAGCTGACAATACTGTGCTACTAGAACTGGGATATTAAACTTTGAAAGGTTTGACACTCTTCAGGGTTAAATATCTTATAACATCCCTAGACAAAAATTTTTAGTCTCTCTCCAGTCTCTCAGAGCCTTTCAGATTCTTTCAGCGTCTCCGAGAGCGTCTCTCACAGTCTTTCATAGTCTCTCAGTTATTGCCTAGGTGTTTTTATGGATCTCTCACAGTCTCTGTATGAGAGACTCGAACGATAAAATTGTTAATTCAGAGATTCGAGTCTCTCACAGAGAGACTGAATGAATAAAACTGAAAAATTGAGAGACTCGAGTCTCTCGTAGAAAGA